TGTTGACCTGCCTGTTTGACACCATCAGCATTGGTCTTTGCAGACACACTGTCTTCTCTGAGGAAAATCACACTCAGCTTGTTCACACTGTGAAACTCAGAATTCCAGCGTTGTTTTGCAGCTTGGTCACAATTCTATAGGAGATCGTAATCCACTGTTTAAAGGGACTGTATTCTCTGAGGAGACCATCCACAACTCTCTCTTGCATGAAAACAAAGCTTGTATCACAAACGTGGTCCAAATGTTGGTGACATGAGTCTCTGTGATAAACTCCACCTCGCGCATATCTTCCAGCGACCGCGTTATATTCTTGCAGAGGGTGTGGACTCAGCAACCATGTACTTGGACTGCGAGTTTGCAGTCTCTGGCGAGTCATTAAATTTTATGACTTCTAGACTTGAAATTCTGAAAAAAGTGTTCTAGAAGAGAGGCGTTTGGTGACTTGACTTGGAACTTTTACGGAGGACACAATTGACCTGGGACTTGGGGTTTTATCGGAGATGTGACACTTCGATATGGCTGTCGGTCCTTGGTAATCATATTATACGCTAAGTAAGGTAGCCAATTGATACCTTCCTACACACATAGGGAGACGCCCTCCTAAAACATTTAACATGCATATTAATAGTAGAGATTCGAAAATGGTGAGGCGTCATTCAGGGGTGTAACCACCAGGACGAGTCGCAACGAAGGTTCATTGGGACGAAACTGCTCTCGCTGTCGGCAGAAGTGCCTACTAGCCAGGAACAACATCCTCCGCGGGGCCATGGGCGGCCTCTGTTACTTAAGTAGCAAACATCAATGACTCTGAGAACCCACAGCGAGGGAGGAAGAAGAAGATACATCTCTATTCAGAAGAGTGATACAACGCAGACCACTGGCTAGGTTGATATAGTATTCAAGCCAATACGCCAAGCCGAATAGTCAGTCTGCATAACACGCTCAAAAATGTGATCAAGCTCTCCGGTGACCGTAAATGCCAAACATATGCACGAGTGTTATTAGACTCACTCAACGCGGACGCGTAAGAGAATAGAGTGTATTTGCCGCAGATTACCATTGTTTAATTATCAAGAGATTCAGTGTAAATCGTTACGTACTAGAGTACATCTGGAGAGAAAAGATATCGTTTAGAGGGGTGAAATACTCCAGAGACTGGGCTTCATGGTTATTTCTCTGACAGTATAACAAAATGTGCTGGCAGACTGGCAGAGTGAGTACTATGGGGCTATTGACCACAGAGATCCATTCGAAGAAAACTAGAAATCTAAAGAGTTAAGGGCTGACCACAATGGAAACTAAATAAAGAGACGAGCATCACACTGCATGTGATCGCTGAAAACAAGAGGGAAACACACCCACGTGAGCCCTCAGTACCTTCATGTGAGAGAAAAACAAGGTGACTTACGGCATGAGGCTGAGGCTGGGGTCGACTCGCAGAGCCTCTCTTTCACGCACATTGGTGGCGTTGATGATTCCTTCTTCTCCTGTGGTGTTGTGTCTGGCTCTGTAGCATCCCTTCTTCTAGAAAAGAGCAAAGTTCGCTTTATCAGTTTCAGTTTCTTCCAAATAAAAATCCTCTAAAGCTCTGCAGCATCTGTAAAACATGACGGTGAGTGACAGTACCGTGGTTGTGTCAACAATAGTGAGGATGTCTCCTTTGCGGTACAGCAGTTCTCCAGGTTTGGGTTTTTTGTGATCCCCCTTGGCTACACACTGAGTACCGGCAGCCCAACTCATCTAAGGAGGCAAAGGAAAATTATGAGAAGGGCACTGACCCATGACTGTGAGTCACACTTTGAGTTTGCTTTGCTAAACTTGCTGTTTTAGGACTCACACGTGTTATTTTACGTTTTTACTTGTCGTGTATTGTAGTGATGATTTGTGAGACCACTGAACAACCAGCATAAAACCAAAGCATTTGAACACATCTCTTTTGGACACCCACAGCCCGTCTTGGTTTGGTGGTTGGTTGTCGACTTTATTCTGGTCGACGTAAAAAATACACCAACAAAATGAGAATTTCCTTTTTTTGTTTTTTGGAGGTCGGATCTTTTGGCCAAGAATTTTAGTAAATATATCTACCGGCGACAAATATTGGACCTCCATGAAATGATCAACTGATTTCCTTTTACTGACCAATGACCTTTGCCTGATTTCCATCAGAATTAAATGTTATTATCTGCTACTGAAAACTGTGGACAGACTGCGAACAAACAGACAGAGAAACAAATGGAAACGATGACAGACTCCCTCCGTTTGGGGGAGAATGATAGCCTACGCATCAAGTTCTCAAAGAGTTTGTGACATATGAGCATCGTTTTTGAAACACTGCATGGTAAGGTAGAGAAAACACGAGTTAAGAAATTTAAGTTTTCTCGGTTGACGTCATCTCAGGATGAGATGAGAAGTCTTGTCCGTAGCATTCCCAGAATATTTAATTTTGTCTAATAAAATTTTAACATTTAGTGACCCTGTATTGATACAATATTGCCACATTATGATGTATCATTTCTGTCCCCACCCTGAATAAATATGAACTCTGACATTTTGCACTGCCAGTATTTCCATCTTGCCTTTGTTCATTTGTTCAAATAAGGTAAAAATCATGACTATTGAAGTGTTTTAATGGCAGTATTGTTAATGTAAAAGGGCACATGTGATTCTCTGTTCCTTCATGCAAGTTCCTGATATTTCCAAAGGTTTTACATCGATTAATGCTGTTTAATACATTAAAGCCAAAAGATTCCTGGACACATTTGGCTTGACAAAGCCAACGTCCTAATTCAAAGCAAACTAATGGCTCAGTCATACAAGCAAAAACAGGACAACACCTTGCATAAACAATTAAACAGATTCATTAATTTAAAAAAAATAGATATCTGTGGCTGTGTGCTGATTGTACTTAAATTTGTCACATTCATCCAGTTGATCGCAAGATCACTGCACAGGTCGCCTGACAGGAGGAAACCTTTCTGCAAACAGTCGCAGTCTGACTTGGACTCATTCTCTGGGATACTGTTGAATAACTGCTGTTTAAATTATAAATGCAGACAGATTTTCAACATGTTGCGGTCAGTTTGAATGAGTCAGTGACTGAGTGCCAGCTGGTTGCATTCAGGTTATATTCCTACAGAACAGGAAGGATGCTGAGAAACAAGTGTAGAAGTTAAATGTGGTTTTCTGTGTACGTAGACAGTAACAGATATGTGATTTCTGACAGTTTGTCACAGTTTACGGCTGTATTACCAGGAACGCATTGCGTGTGATTGCCAACTTGACCTCATTCAAACGGAGATTGATATCAGACTGACTCGATGTTATGGCAGATTTAGTGACAGAGTCGGCGGTGAGCTGGTGCCAGCTCTGATATTTATCATCTATTTCTGTGAAACACAATAAAGTCCATAACATTATTTGTAACGGAACTGCATGTTACATTTTTAAAAATATATATCAAAAATTAGAAAAATCTCATATGAAACTCACTGAGAAAATTGCCCGTGGAGCAATACCGCAGAACTCTGTATCTGCAGCAGTATCAGAATCATCAGGACTACTTCAGCTCGTCCTGAATCCTTACACGCACATATAGAATTCAAAATAGTGCTGAAGTCACTTTATTGGGGGAAAAAACCCCTTTTATTAGTTCATAACGCACTCAAAGGGTTTGGCCACCAGTGCATCTCTGAGTTGCGCAGTCAGACCTGAGCAGGTTGAGATCTTTTAACTGTCCCGAGAATCAGATCTCAGCTGAGGGCGCTTTCGGTAATTTGGCGCAAGCTGCCTGCTGATCTGAGGTCAGTTACATCTGTGTTTACGGTTCAAAAGATTTAAATTCTGACAGGCTTACAGTTCATAACCGTGTGTTTGTGTTGACTTGTATCCTACTTGTTTGGTTTTCTTGCCCGACTACACGGTTTGTGGTTTTATGGTTTACGTGTAATTAAATGTGCTGTATAAATAAAGCCGACACTCGGGTGTAAATTTGGATTAAGACATGAGTACTTTGAAGTATGTACTTAGTACATACTTTATCAATCACATTAGCGTTAGCCTATAATCTGAAATACAGCTGCACACATCTGCAGTACGTACCTTTGCCATCAGCAGGGCTGGCTGGATAATTCTTTGAACACCTGGCCGAGCAAACAAGAGGGCAGCCAGGAAAGATAAAAAGCGCCGTCTGTCCTGTAATAAAACGCAAACAGATGCAGTACAATTCAAAGCTGCTGTTCGATAAATCCGCCTCTGTCGAAGTCAAAGCCAGAAGATGAACGCCCAGACAGCGCCGTCCGTCCGAGTCCTCGTCGGCATAAATGTTTCAGTACCTGCGGCTCTTTGGGGAGAGCCTGTCAGCAGGAGAAACCACCAGGCTCCAGGCGTCCTCAGCGGGCACTCTCCGTCAAACTTATTTTCGGCCGAATTCCTTCATCGTCTCCAGCCCGTCCGCAGCCGCTCCTCGTCTTTATTCACATCTCAGAGCCGTGTGAGCGCTCGCGGTGGCGCGCGCTCAATGTCCGCGTGAACCACTTCCTCAATATTTAGGAAAGCGCAGTTTGAGACACAGCGACGCTTTTTATTACATCACAAGACAGAAAAAGCCCGAAGAGTGTTTTTTTCCTCTTTATTTTTAATATCTCCCCTCAACTTTAGGCAACACTACAAAGACATTCAAATAATAGGACAGAGAGGTTCACGCTTCCCGTTTCAACAATACAAAAAACAGACCGCAGCATCCCTCGGAAATAAAATAAGCAAGTAGTATACTGTGATGCTGTTGGTAAATGAAGATAAAACTAAAAATGCGCATCAACTCTGAGCCAGAGGTGCGTAAAACGTCGGCTCCGTTGTCTCTGTGACATACCGCTCATCAGGATTCAAACCAGACAAAACCCATAATTGTTCCTCTTAATCAGTAATACATAACATGAGGCAGGCACAAGGAAGAAAGTCAAAAGGACTATAACGATTTAGTCATTTCAGTAAGTATTCAGTCTCATTTTCTCTCTTCTTCTAACCATACTCTGGAAGAAAAAAAGATTACTAGGTAATATTATTTAAATTATACAATTATGGCTGCATACAGTGCTTCAGTCCCTCAGCATGCTACTGAACTGCACCAAGGAAGATTTCTCCCTTCAGAGGCAGATTAACTATCACCAGAGAAAGCCACCTTTGGTGGGCCGGTTATTTTAGACTTATTTGGAAACCGCGGGGATTTTTTGTGTGTGTTACCTTTAAGCAAAGTAAAGATCACTTCATGTACTGTGCTCGCTCACTCTTATCTGACCTCCCTCACAGTTTCAAAGCTTCCTGCCCACTTTTCACAATCTTAGAAACCAGTTTCAGCAGCAAATATTCTGCACCAGTGTTAATTCAAGAGTCGGGATGATAAAACTGAACTCGCCCGAAGAGCAGCAGCGTCCAGCTTTTTCTTCAGGGAGAAAAGCTGCAAATAAAGTTTAAGGTGCTGATGTTTAAACTGCACTGGAGGCTTTAACATCATAGCAAACAACACAACGGCACACAAATTAGTGGTGGTTCGTATACTGCGTGTAAAAAGAGGAGTTTACTCCCTTTATTCACTCCGCACACTGAAATCAGAAGGAATTGCAACCAATCGTCAGTCCCTTCCCTCCTTCCGAAGCTTCATCCCCCACAGTTTAAGGGTAGATGTGTAACATGTAGAGTCAAAGTTATATTTGTACGTGTATAGCTGCGTGTTAAGATTGTTTTTCGAGAAAAGAAAGAACGTTTAATGTTGTGACATTCTACCAGTCTCTAAACTAGTAAATGCCTCTGCTCCGGAGGCAGAGGTCAAGCACTCGCCGCCTCTTCCTTCTTGTCTTTTTTGCCTTCCCCCTCGCCTTCGCCCGTCTCGCTGACATCCCGTCGACGCTTGCGGTTACGTGCGCTGGCCTTGGATGCTGGCAGGGACTCCATGCCCAGGACCTTGTGGATCTGACGGAAAGCAAGCAGCCGCAGAGCATGCTGGGAACAGAGAGGATACAATCGATAGATAGACAAAGTTAAAGTGCTTACTAAGAGCTCATACTATGAGAGATGCTTATACATAATTAACAGTGATAAAACAGAAAATAGAGTAAAAATTAAGTTTAAAAAGTGAGACTGATACTGTGTGAGAGTCGTGCAAATTGCATTAATATATAATATGCACAATAAGAAAGCATGAAGGTATAATAGAGAAACACAGGTGTGTTCACCTGTCACAGAACGAGAAGTTATTACAGTTTTACAGAGGATGTTATGAACAACTTCCTGAATGTTCTTTATGGCAGTGGGGTTGAACATGAGAAGTCTGAGCAGGAATGGGAATCCAGTACTCCACTTCCTTGGACTTATTAGCCTGCCTGCCTGTGAATCCTACTCACTGGTTCCAGTTGTGCTACAATCAGTCGATTTCAGACGTATCAGAGGAGAAAAATATGGACATTACTTTTATTTTTACTGCACAAAGGGACGACAGCACGATGGCAAACTGAACCCAGGACAGAAACAACTGCATCGTACTGCTAACACACACAACGTTGGCTCTTTGCAAGCATCTGCACAGACGGCATGCTAACGCTAAGCTAGCCAAGAACCCAGAGTAAAAGCTGAGCGAACGCCGACCCCGGGCTGCAGCTCAGCTTCTACCTGTTGGTGTTTCTAAAGTAGAATCGCCATGGCGATCGCATTAAAGCGTCTTTGTGCTGGTTCTTATTTTTGCTTTGCGTTTTCCCACCTAAATGCTAAGACAAAGGTCACACGTGTATCCTCATTAGGACAGGGATTTGTGTTAATCTGCATGAATGATGAACGTAACGTCTTTTTGATATGTTGCTTAGCAACGGTGACTCTCAAAGCGGAGCGATAAGACAACGAGAAGGGACTGAATCAATATTGGAATCGGGTTCGCTAAATTCCCATCCCTACTTGTTAGTGCCTATGATGGTCTCAGGTGTACAGCTGTGTGTGGGTACCTGTGCACCGGCAGTGATGTCCTCTCTCGCTTGAAGTTCCATGCTTTCCAAAGCATCTGTTGGCTCCTTCTCACAGGGGTCCATCAGACCTGGTCCGTCTGAGTGAAGGCAGGAGAAAGAGAGTTAATCGCTATTTTGTAGCAGCTCAAAGGGAAGCAAATGCGACTAAGTTCTGCACGTGGCATTCATCGACTGCTTTCCTTAGCGCGTGTGTGTGTGTGTGACCTGGCAGCAGGATGCCGGTGGAGATGCACTCCAGGACTCTGCGCATTGCCTCCCCTGGGCTAAGTGGGCCTGTGGCACTGCTGATAACCTTCTCCACCAGCAGCTCCATCGCCTGGAAGAAGAAACAGTCAAATGGAAGAAGACATCACATGTCACGTGTATACTGTCGTACTGCCTGTCCATTAAACACCAGCTTAGGACATTTGAAACTATCGCCTCCCACACAGTCCAATCGAGTCTGACCGAGTTATGAATGCTCAGCATGCTTTGCATAATGTTCCTTCGTAGATCGACCAAGCAGACAAACAACAAGACAAATGAAAGAGAGAAAACCTCATCAATAAGCAAAAACAGGATAAATGAAGCCACTTACCCAGCAGGGGATCTTCCCCCAGGTGGGAACCCGCTGACATAAATCTCTCAACACCCGAATGATGATCACACAGGACTGCAGAGTTATATAAAAACGGCCTTGTTCCTGCACATGTACAACAGGTATCTTATGCTGATGCTGTAAATGAATGAATGAATGAATGCTTTATTGGCCATATGCAGGTTGCCCCGCAGAGGAATAGGCAGAAACAGTGAACCTTGAAAACCAGCCCTCTGTAACACATGTCTGTGCATCTCACAGCCAGGCTCATCCTAAATATGAAGACTCTAGAAACAGTCAGTGCATATGCAACTCACTCATATTTCTTGCTTTGATTCATGCGAATGAAAACTTGACTACGGCTGACCTTAATCTGGTCTTGGATAAAGGTGATATGATGTACAAAGAGGCCAAGAAAAGATTTCCAAAAAATATTCATTTGGCAACCGATGAGCTTCCAGACAAAGTTGATGATTGCAGGTCTATATATCATGTTGACATGACACAGCCTTGGGACATATGAAGAACCTCCAGAGGAAACAGTAGATACATTTCTGATCTTAGAAGCAGGACTGAGCTGCCTGTTGTCAGATGTGCAGTATGCCTTACTGATTATGAGTGGATTGTGTATCGCAGTGTTCAGATCCAATTCAGGCAAATATGGTTTCTTTGATCCACACTCCAGAACACCCAGTGGTCTTCCTCTACCACTGTGGTCACGTAATCGTGGTACAGCAGTGATGGTGAAATTCTCACTCCTCAGTGACATGATTAAGAGGCTCCAAGATTCTTATGAAGGGATTGAGATATCACCCTCTTGTACCTATGAACTGAAGCCTGTGCAGTTCTACCTTAGAACTTTTTACTGTTTTTTTTTAAACATTAGCCATTTTTTTCCTTTTCATTTTTTTTCAGTTATCATGATGTATGCAAAGACCAGAACATAAAACGGTGATGTAGACTACAGAAGGCTATATGCCTTTTAACAGATATTCTTAGCATACAAATAACACAATGTGACATACTTCTTAATTATAAGGGCTCTGCTTATGTTAACTAAGCCATAAGCACCTGTGCGAATTTCACATCTTTGCAGCACCGTAGCAGGTACACTGACTGCTAGCCACACAGTTTTACACTCTTACATTCATGTGCTCTTTGTACACTCTTGGCTAATTAACTGTGACGTTTACATTACAAGTTATTAACACAGAGAGCATTGAAAAACGTATAAGTCTTACATGCATGTTCGGGTTTACAATTTTCTCTCAGTTGCCCCGTGCCATGTTATGAGCTCCCCGTGACTCCGCGGGATCCGAAGCTGCAGCACTTACTCTGTTCCTGGCATGCATGAATTCAGAGTTAAAAATATGTGGCACCTCCTACTGCACGGAGTGTGTGATATCAAGAAAGACGTCTTAAGAGCTTAAAAGAATATGATTAGACTTCTTTAACTTATCAAGACCTTCCCTTCTTTCACGTTTTTAACACTAACATGCGTAAGATGACCAAGGGTGTCATGGTCCGGGTGTGTGCCAGTGTGTCTCCCTCCGAGCCGGCGTCTCCACCCCGGGGAGGGGCCTCAGTGTTTTTGCTGATCGCTTACACCTGTGGGTAATTTAGCCGGGGACTCATAAGGCCAGCGTACTCAATCTCTCTTCGCCAGATTCTCTGCTAACATCAGTCAGTGCAGGCCACCACCATAATTCCCTACGTATTTTGTGAATCTCCTTGCCTCACTGTATGTTTGTCTTTTGTGCGCCTCTCTCTTAGCTACACCTAACTGCCAACCCCTGCCGAAGAGCTCCTACTTGGATACTGGACCATCTGGCAGTCCCACAGGCTATTACCCGAATCACCTACCTGCCTCTCTGCCTCCACGCCAGGAGTTTTTGGATTACACATCCGGACTACTCACCCCTCTACGTCATCTCCGACCACCTGTGGCAAGTACGCAGTACGAAGGAGGATCCTGAACCAACAACATATTCATATGTCTCCTTATCCGTATCTGAACATCTGCACTCTGTTACAGTGACCCCGACCTTTTCCTGGATCTAATGTGACTTGCTTTCCAGTCCAATCCCCGGAATAGCTGTCCCCTCTGACCCGGACCAGATTGTTACTTAGTTTCAGTGGTGGAACGTCGTACTTGTCTAACTCACCTTTTTGTTTATGAATATTTGTGGAATCATTAAACATTATTCTTAAAATCTTACGAGCTGTTCGGCGTCCTGCATTTGAGTCCTGTCACTCGTCTAAAACTGTCTCGGCCGTAACAGAGGGCCTACACAAACATCAAGATTATTTTTAATTCACAGGCTCAAGGGAAATATATAAAACATCAGGGTTTTGTGTTTGTCCTATTTAATCGAATGGACATTATCGTGTCTCATAAAACTCTCTTTCTGTGTGCGGGTGTGTTTGTGTGTGTAATTTCAGAATGGCTTCATCAAAACCTCATCGCAATACCAGTGAGCCATACAAGAGGCTGCCAACTCTAACGGTGAAAGTGGTGTATCTTAAAGAAACCCCTAAAGTCACTGGCTGGCATTTCTCTGATGGAAGTGCAAGGCCCAAAGCTGTCCACAGTAATACAAGTGCGGCAGTATGTGACGGGACAAATGTGTTCAGATTTGTTATATTTGAAAGCTTGGCCTCCCAAATTAAAGAGGGTAAAACATATACAATTAGAAATTTTAGAATGACCACATTTGGAAGCACAAGAACAATGCTTTCCAGTAAGGACACGGCAGTGTATGTCAGTGTGCCCATCCAGGTCAGTCAGCAGCTGGAGGACGAAGCAAGGCTGCTTCTGGAGCCACCTACCACCTCGATCTCACTAACCAACATCAGCCAGTCACAGATGATGTACGTGACAGTGAAGGAATGGGTAACAGCTGTAAGTGTTAGGAGTTGGGTTCTGGTTATGTGGTGTTTTTGTCTGTATGTGTTTTTGGGTGCCTCCCTTTTAGTATAGGTAGGCGGGGCAGTAAGTCATTGAACCTGGCACACCTGTTACTCATCAGATGCATTCTTCTGAAGTGTTCTTTAGGAGCTACGTGACAGAAGTTTTTGGAGAGTCTGTAATTCTGCCCCTGCCTGCTGGAGCCGTTGGATTATTTCTGGTGACTGTAAGGAGTTTTGTTTCCTCCCTAGGATTTCGCCTCATCTGGTTTGTTTTCCGTCTGGAGGTTTTGGCAATAAACAGTACCAAGTAAGCTCTCCAACTCTCTGTAAAGTTTACTTTAAGCTTTTCTCGGTTATCGGGCAAGACCCTCCTAATTCTCACGTCCCTCTTCCTTTTTTTAGATCGAGTGCATTACCTGTGTGTGTTTCCTACACCTGCACGTCCTGGCTCTGCGTCCCCATTCATACGCTGTTGTATATACTTTGTCCTTGTTAATACCTCCCCATCGCTGTAAATAAACTGTCTTCACAGCAACTCTGCCTCCGTGCGTTCTGCTCCCTGGGTCCATCTGCATTTGCCATAACAGTAAGTTTCCCCACATTAATTTACTACTAACACATTTAGATGTAGCTTAAGGTTTTATATGTTTTGTTTTTACTGTTCCAAGTTAAAGCTAACACACCAATTTTAGGGCACTTTCAAAACAAAAATCATATAAATGAAAATCAGAGTATGACAAAAGAAAGAGGATAGTTCTTTTGAGATTTAAAGCATGGAGAGCGAAATTTTAACTATGTACAAGTTAAAATGGGACACGGTTATCTGCTGCAATATGCAGATTTGTGTCCATTTTTAAAATAATTGTCCTTCTCTGTCACATTTAGATGGAACCCTTGAAAAAAAACTGAAAGGGAACGGGGGCAATATTGGATCACCTGTAGAGATCACTCATTTGAAAGGAAACAACTCGCACTCATATGACTTTGCACTTCACACATCAGCATTTACTGTGGTTAAGGTCGGTAAATTACTTTATGCAGTGTCTTCATGCTTTTAGTACTGGTCTTAAACTGGCCATGAAGTTCTTTTTCTTTTCTTTTATTATCTACAGCCTGGAAGTGGGATCCATGAGATTAAACCGCGAGGTTACAGAACCATTGGCCAAGACCAAGAGGTCCTGGACTCCGATGACATTCCACATATTGTCATCTGCTGTATGGCTAAAGGTGTTCCCAGACATCCTCCCTTCAGTGATCCTGCTAAATTACGAACACGGCACCGTAACAGACATTCTGATGCCAGAGGAGTAACGTCCTTTATTATTTTCCCAGCATTTCTATTTATTTAGTTATTTATCTAATGTATTTTTTAAAATCTTTTGTTTATCTTTAAGTAATTAGTTAAAGATGAAAATTAAATAGGTTGAAGAAAAAAAAAATCAGTTAATTAGTTCAGTGTTTTGTGGGGGTTTGTTAATCCTGAATGTTTTAATAAATGCTTTGCAAACTTGGAGCGTCTTATTTAATTTAATGAAAAAATGTATTTACATGTACTTCAAATGATTTGAGGGGGCAACACTAAATTAGTAAATTCCAACTGAAGAAAATGGAGAAAGATGAGGAGGAGAATAAAAGTTTTTACTGTGATTGCATTCCTGTTTTGAGCGAAGTTCCTTGTTTTTACTGTTATTAGAAGCATCTTGAGTCTGTATTGGTTTCCAAGTCATCACTCTTCAGAGTGTTTGTTTGTGTTTCAGTGAATTAGTTTAGTAAAAGCAGACTGCATTGTGCCATGATCGCTGCTAAGAAGATGTTGATGACCCCACACAGACTGTTTTTCACACTGTTCTCTGGCAAGAGGCTGCTGTCCATCACTTCAGCCTTATTTTACTGACTTCCTGCCTGACAAGAAGTCACTGATCTACACACCCAGCAGATCAGAGTAGATGTCAAGATGTTCTGGTTTTTCTTTCAAGAATGTAAGATTCTTGAGTTTAGACACTTAAAATGAATAATCCCACTTTTGTAGTGATAAAAAGAATATTTCAATATGCATTCAGATGTATTCTTTTGTTATAGTCAGGTTGTTTTTTTTGTTTTTTTTAAGGTACAGTAGAAAAGCATATAAAGATGATCAGCTACTTTCTAACTATTCAACTTTCAACAGTTCTGCACTTTTGTTTTCAGATGAAAAATCTTTTTTCCATCTCATTCAACATTTTTAACTTAAAATTCAGCAATTAATTCATTTCAGTGCATACCTTCAGATTTCAGCATTCACACTGCAGTTTCTTCAGAAAATGCACTTTCTAGTTCCAATCAATTTTATTTATTTTTTTATTCCACTGTGACTCGTTGGCCACTAATTTCTGGACCAGTTCTTGTGTAATTTTCTCTGTTACCTTTTGAGAATGGATTATTGACAGTCATCAGGTCTTTGAAGGAGTTCTTAAGGACATGACTGTCAGATACTGCTCTGAAACCAGCCGGTGTCCAAAGAAAGCTTTGAAAGACGTCTTGGAAAATCTTGGAAAACTATCGCTCAAGACAGGTTGGAAATGTAAGAAAATATAAATGAATGAGTGTTGGTTAAAGACTTTTCCACAGTTTTATAATAAAGAAAAAAAACTTTTATGTTTTTAAACTAAATAACTTTTGTTCTTGTTCTTCTAAAACATAGGTGTCAAACTCCGCCTAATTATATTTGGCCCGCGAAGCCAATACTAAATTATTATTAGAGCTGGCCTACTTGTCATGGGCTGGGTCTGTGACCCAGTGTTTGAGTTCTTATATGTATCTTTTGTATTCATTTGTGCCCTAGTTTAGCTCACCTAGTTAATTTCTAGATTGCTGTTTAGTCTTGTTCCTTAGTTGTTTAAGTCATCTCCCCCTGTACTAAGTCTCCCTGGTTCATGCGTCATGTCTGCGTGGTTATGTTTAGTTCATGTCATGTCTAATCTCCATGTTTCCTGTTTTACTTTGAAAGTCTGTATTCAATGTCAGTGTATTTAGTTTCACCTCTCCTGTCCTGTCGTTAGGTTCATGTGTGTCAGCTGTGCTCCCA